ATGTTTAGCCCTTCTCGCTATTTAAATTGCTAATTCAATTTATTAAACACATTTGTACATACATTGGAAACATTCACGATGTTTAACATTAGAAGGAGCGCACTTATTATTTCGACAGATGCAGTGTCTTCTCTTAGTTAATCGTAGCTCACTTAATTTTTAATAGTTTTCAAATTTTGCAATATTTCACTGAATAGAATTATGACGTATTGAGACCACGCAATTTGTGATATTCGTAAAAATAATGAACGATTTTCGTCCTTCTAGCGTTAAAAATCACTGCAGAAGATAGCCATCCCATCAGGTTCGACGAAGACTTACGAAGCTGCTGCTGACGCGGTCCAACATCCCGCTGGTTCCACTGAAGGCGAACTTCATGAAAGTTGAAAATCCTTTCAATCCTTGATAATGATCATTTACTAATAATCGATAGGGTACACGTAACAAAACTCCTCGTCGTCGTACGTAATTCCGTTCCACCAATCGAGCACGACTAACACGAGCGACGGTCTTGTTCTGCCGACGCTAAAAGCCTCGTGGACGACGCCAAGTGTACATTTATCCCTGCGAAGCTGTTCGAACGCGACCACGAGGAGGTCATCCGTAGCGAAAAAGGTGGGGGATTCACGCACACCTCGTTCATGTCGTTGGTTCGTCGTTGTCGCTGTTGCTTAGACAGATTGTCGTGGGAGTAGGTGGAAGTAACCGAGGACGAGAATAAGAAGACGAATGACTTTGTTCTATCGCATTTAAAGGTCGAAACTCTGGGTTTCCCCTTTAAAAAAATCAACTTGAAAACTACGGATATGGATAAGGATTAAGAAAATTTATAAGGATAAATGGCAAAAACTTTTTGTTTTAAAAATTCCTTTTGTGTCCTATGACAGAAAAAAATAATAAGAAATTTCGCGAAAAGCATACTATTAGATTGAAAGGAATGGAAGAATTAAGGCCAAATAAATTAGGGGTAAACAGAAACATAGGATCGCCAAATAATGATGACAGACAGGATGATAGATCGAGGGCCAATCGACCGATTGCGACAACTTGAGGCTCTCACGTTGACAAGTCATTTGCCGACTTCTCTCAATGAGACCCATTGTCTATCGAAGCGCACGTTTGCTTTTTGCAACTCTGTAAACATTAAAGATTTATTTTTGAAACTACAAATAGAAAAGAGTGGTACCGGATTGGCAAAGCGTAGAAATCGCTTAAAATAAAATAGATTTATATAGATTTAATGTAGATTTAATATAGATTAATATAAATTTCTTCGCGATAAGATTTAAATAAACGATACGTTAAGAATTTAATAATTTAATTCACGGTAATGATGAATAAGCGGAAGTTTCATTATGATTTATTTTTGAATATTTGCATCTGCGATGCTCATTTAAATCATATCGATGGGAGAAGAAATCGATGCATCTTTATAACAGAAATGAAGACGTTACTCAATTTATTACTAAGATGATAAAAATTTCGTACTTTATCATTACTATTTAATAGACAAGGATAGAGACTGGCCTTTTCGCGTCCTGTCTATCTAATTTTTATCGATCGGTTTTGTGGAGTGACGCAATTTATACTAAAAAAAATTTACTATATCTTAATAAATATTTGTTTGAATACTTGTAGCAAATATTTACCTATAGTAAATAAATATTTACTCAATGAAAAAAATAATAGTTAAATCAAGTTAACTCTTGGGTCTTTTATCAAATAAATATATGTTATGTTCACTAAATATTTACTTATAATACATGGTCTACAATAGAAGTTGTAGCCGTCGTAAGGTCTTAAGTCATAGAAAATTGATCAATTATAGTCGATTATTCTTTTCATCTTGGACTGTAATTGTTTAATTTTCTACGATTTAAGATCTTACGAGCGCTACGACTTCTATTGTAGACTCGGCGTTACTATTAAAAAAATATTTATTAAGATATAATAATTTTTTTTCAATGTACGCTCTAATCTTTTTTTTTTGGTTTAAACGTTTAATTATTTCATAGCGACATATTGATTCGCGCGTGGTGTTTGTCCACGGATCGAAGTTGTGTCGAGTAATAACCTTGTCAATCTTTATTTATGAGGTGAGATACTTGTGGATAGATAACGTTCGGCAGACGTCGCTTTATATACACCTCGACTAGAATAAACCTAGCAAACACAAAATTATATATAATATATCTGTGTTAGTTCTAATTTCCTATTCAACAATATAACTATAATATAACACACGTGTTACATTATAGTTATATTGTTGAGTGGAAAATACAACAGGTACGTTACATGTAATAAAAATAAAAAATTATTAATAAAAAGTTATTAATAAAAAGTTATTAATATCATATAATTAATGAGTTCTTAGATTAATCGATTCTCGAATTCAGACGTAAACTTGTTAAGACAATAATTGTTTCTTAAAACAAGTATCTGATTTTACTTAAAGGCTCATAAATTTAATTATTTCATTAATTATTCGTGTAATCATTATTTCTTTGAATATGTCACGCGTTGCACGTTCAATTTTTTTTTCCTTCTTTTTTGTATATATTATACATTTATTCACCAATTTCGAGTCGAAAATGCAAAATAGGTATCAATCACATCAGTGCTTTAAACAACGGAAAGCTATGGTTTATCAGTAATATGCACTCTTCCTCAATAATATGCGGAATTTATGCGCTCGAAGTATATTACGCGCTTGTAGTACTGAATTATTGATATTGCGCCACATTTTCGGTTTAATTAACTCGACTTCATTACTTGAAATGTATCGCGCGGGTAGAGCGAAATTGCGCGAACAATGGCTTCCAATTTTTGGAATTATTAACGAAACACGTCACGAATGTTCAGATCGATGCTGAGTGTCGCGCGTGTCGCGACGCACTTTAATTAGCAAGTAGAGTGTGATTCTATATTTAAATGTCTGTCAAGACTGCATAGTGCGTAAATTCGATGTTCGTGTACAACGGCGATGCGAAAACTCTTTATTATTCAAGGTTTGTTTATCGCGTTAATTTGCGAGATGCCGCGGGTATCGAACGAATCTAGCTTGGTGCGTGATCGTGTCTTTCTCACGTTTTGTTTTTCTAGCATAATGAAGTCAAGTGAAGCGCGCGCCGCGAGCGATTAACGATATTGTGCAAAGCATTGTTGTATTTCGGTTGATTGCAATCATATTTTCGCAATTGAATAACAAGGGTTGAAGAAGAGGTCCAAGAGGACTCGGAAATCATTCATAAGGTGAGTGAAAATGATGATAGATTGATTTCTGCAAAAGAGAGGCTAGATTAAGTTATTGTATTTTCTTACTGTAATTCAATTATTAATTAATGTAATACTACTGGAAATTACTATTATTTTGAGTATTAAAAACAATAGTGCTTTTAATATATAAAACAAGTAATTAATCACTTTAAATTTTTATAAGGGAAATCTAGCGAAGATATTACTTACTCGATTTATTTACTCGTTCTGTCAACTCTTCATTATAAATTATAATGAAAGAATATGTTTTTTTCAAAACATCTAAGTTTTTCAATGAAAGTGATGATAGAATGATTTTTTTGTAAGAGAGTAGGTTTAATTCTTACAGAAATCCAATTTAACGTTAGCTAATTTAATAGGTACTAGGAATTATTTCAAGTATTGAAAAAGTATTAAACAATAATGCTTTTAATATTCAAAACAAGTAATTATTTATTATCTTTTACTATCTACTTTTGAAATAATATTCACAACTTTAAAGAAAATCTTGTAATTCAGAGTAATAATTATTTTGAAATTGATATTTTTGAGATTTCTTTTATATATTCAAATTTTAATAATTTAAAGTCTATTCTTGAGCCTATTGTTATACAGTAATTAAGAAATTAAAATTAATAACATAAATCAATTACTCTAACTTTTACTAACTGAATTAACAATTAATTAGTGATCAATAGGTGAAAAACAGATTGATATCTAGAAATGTATTACATAAAGTTGATTCTAATCTTTTGTAAACAACTCGCTTCGATAATTGCGACCGGTGTCGTTGCTCATTGAAACACGTTGCTCATTCGTGTTTGTTCGTGCTCGCTTACCAGCTTAATGATCGCAATTTTAAACTTAAACACACGAACTCTACGCGATATTATTCGTCAACTTTGATCACTCGACAGTAATTGCGACTTCCATATTTATTGTACAAGGATCTTCGACTCTAATTTCTAAAATATGCTGTTAAAGTCTTACATGATAATTGTAGATATTCTGCATGGGCAAATATAGCACCTGATATATACACTGAACAGACATAAAAGTTGCAGAAATGATCACGAGTATGATGTGTCTGCGCATACAATTCATACAGATGAATCGCCGAAGGGCGTGTCAGATGAAACATCGATAAATAAGTTTCGCGAAGCATCGACTTAAATGTGATTCCTATGCAATTTTCAGCATTATGAGATGATTCATGTCTCGCGTAATTATGCTCGGTCTCATCGAGACAGCACGATACGTGTCGTTTCCCGATTCCATTCGACTTCTCTTTCTCTTGGGAATTGTGACGCCATTGTTTAAAATCCGAGAGAATAAATTATTATGTAAAAAAACCGTTTAAAATCATTAACTCAATTTATTTCAAATTTAGCAAAGAGTTTACAAGGGAGAAAAATTTTGCTAAAATATTTAAAAATATTGATAGATACAGATCTGAAAATAACTTCGTTGGATCGTCAAAATAATGAATTATATGTAGAAAAACTCAAACATGATGAGCAAAAAAATTTGATATTCTTTGGCAATCCGCTCCATTCCGGATTCACAGCTAATAAAAAGGAAAAACATGTAAATTGCGGATAATAAACGTGTAACGTGCGCGCAATATATATATTACATATACAAGTGTTACACTCGTAAAGTTAACGCAGATATGAATCGGTTCGCATATATTGTACACGAGCGTTTCTCGCGAAGCGCGTTCGCGTGGTAGCTGATCTTGAACTACATGTTCCACTTAACTTTCATGATCGGCACTCTCTTTGACAACCCTGGCGACCGCGCAGGGTTATTCACAACGATCGTGATTAATACGATGATAGCTCGCAGTAAAGCAGCGTAAACAACCGCGCCCAAGCAGGCTAAGAGGATAGTCCCACGATGATCTGGAATGTACGTAGCTGCGAATGGTCTAGGCCATTTTATGAGTCCTTGGAGCCGTTATGGCGAAGTTCTTACGTGCATACATGTATCTACATATCCCGTACTGTACGATGCCGCTCGCATGTACACATAGCCCGATATATTCGTTTACATAATCTGCTCTTACATCGTATTGTATAATATAGGAAAATATGGCTCATATAATTTTATCTTAAGTTTTACTGCATCGAACGTTATTCGTAACTCACCCTGTTTTTACTTTGCGTCGAACCACAAGCTGGAAAAAAAAGATTAGCATCTTTAACGATTTATCGTTTATGGCTACTATTTGATCAAGTATGGCTACATTATTTTTAAAATTGTAGATAATTATCTCAAACTATTAGGTGTTGGAATTAATTCGTAGCGTTTTACAAGTGATGGGAAGTACTTTCATTAATGTATTTTTTAATGCTCATGTGAAATAAATAACATTCTTTCATTAAAAACGCTACGAATTAATTCCAACACCTAATATGTTATTATATAATAGTTTATATGATGCCAATTGTATCGGCAAATAGTTTCGAAATTTTTTTCTTTAATTAATTTCTCTT